GGGGGGTGGGGGGAGAAAGGGGAGGGGAGGAGGTCGAGAGGTTATCATCCCTCTTCCCTATCCACCCTCGCTCGCCCCGTCCCGTCCTCTCCCCTCCGTTGCCGGATCGATTTCGTAGCTTCATCCCACGTGGCAGAGGGATGACTCACGCGCGCGCTTCCCGGGGACGGATGCTGGCTGGAGCGAGTCGTCCTCTCCTGACCTGCACGCGGCATCGTGGTCGTCGGAGGCGGATTCGGCGTGGCTGGGGCGGGAGGGCGGGCCGGCTGGTGTCGGGGAGAGGCGAGCGAGGCGAGGGGGGAGAGAGAGAGAGATGGAGATAGAGATAGAGATAGAGATAGAGATAGATAGATAGAGAGAGAGAGGGGGGGGAGGGAGGGCGATGGAAGGGGGGTAGAGGCATGCATGCAGGTAGGTTGGTTGGTCGGTGGGCTGGAAAGCAGGCAGGAAAGGAGACATGCGATAATGCGGGTAAATACTTAAAGGAACCATTGAAATGCAGGTCAATACTTTTAAAAACGATTAAGTAAACAAACAGATCAAAAACAAGAGGTAAGCGTAAGACATAGAACAAGACAGACAGACGCAGACAAATGTGCAGGAAACACGCGTAAGACTGAAACAAAGGTCTGGTAGATAGACGATAGACGAGTTAATGAGTGCAAAGTTATGCACGCGGGTGTAACATCTACGTTTATGGGTGTTATGTGTTCTCCTATTTATTCTCAAAGGAAGGTAGGGATTCAGGAGGGGAGGAGGAGAACACGCGAAGTGGAACAGAAGCACTGCGCCTTAGTTCGCTCCCATGGGAAAGAGGGAAAGGAGAGTATGCTAATAGGATAGCATAGAAACAGAGAAGTAAAAAGTGCGAAAGGGAATTATAGAAACGAGACAGACAGACAGACAGACAGACAGACAAACAGACGGGTGTATATATATGTGTATGTATGTATATATGTATGTATGTAAGTATGTATGTATGAATGTATGACTCCCTAGCTTGTGTTTGAGAGGACACCCCTACAAAGAACCAAATAACCAAACCGCGGACGCAGCCCGGCCGGTAAGGAATGACGCGGATGGCCGTCAGCAAGGTCGTGAGGGCGATCAGATAACGTTACTTCAAGATGGCACTCGTTGAGACAAGGGGGGGGGGGTATGGGAAGGAAAGGGAGGGCAAGAGCTGAGGAAGGAGAGAAGGGAGGGAAGGGGACCAGGTTCTCCTCACTTGTTGTGTCATCATAGTCCTTGTTAGATGCTCCTTGTGTTTGTATTTTTGTTTGTATATGGGATTGTTTATTTGGGTGTATTTGTTTATATGGGTTTGTATGTGTGTGTGCGCGCGCGCGCGTGTGTGTGTGTGTGTGTGTGTGTGTGTGTGTGTGTGTGTGTGTGTGTGTGTGTGTATGTGTTTGTGTGCGCGCCTGTGTGGGTGTCTGTGTGCGTGTGTTCTTGTATTCATATGGGTGTGTATACATGCAAATATGCCCGTTTCTGAACCTTTATCTACACTGTGTAGAATATTTGGACTCAACATAAGAAATAAAAAGGCGATAGAAGAAAAAGTATTTGGAAAGTGAGCATCGATAAAGAGGGAAGCAAGCACGGAGATGGAAACCGATGGGGAACAAAACCTTTGAAGAGAAAGAGACAACACGAAGAAAGAAGAATAAATGTAGAAATGGGAAGAGGGATAGGAAGAAAAGAGGGGGGAAGTGGAGAGCGAATGTGATGGAAGGGAAGGGGCGAAGGAAAGTAAACAAATCTGTATAATCGATTCATGTTTCCCTCAGGTACTTCCTCCCTCCTCCTCCTCCTCCTCCTCCTCCTCCTCCTCCTCCTCCTCCTACTCATCCCCCTCCTCCTCCTCCTCCTCCTCCTCCTCCTCCTACTCATCCCCCTCCTCCTCTTCCTCCTCCTCATCCCCCCTCCTCCTCCTCCTCCTCCTCCTCCTCCTCCTCCTCCTCCGCATTTATTTCCCCTCTCTCTCCCTTCCCCTTTCCCCGTTACCTCCTCTACCTCGGCCCCCTCCCCGATTATCCTCTTACCTACACTTCATGGTGAACATTCTCTCTTCTCTCTCTATCATTCTTTTCCTGTCTCTTTTCCTCCCTCTCTCTGTTTCTCTCTCTCTCTCTGTTTCTCTCTCTCTCTCTCTCTCTATCTCTCTCTCTCTTTCTCTTTCTCTCTTTCTCTCTCTCTTTCTCCCTCCCCCTCTCTCTCTCTCCCTCCCCCTCTCCCTCTCTCCCTTCTCCCCTCTGCCTTTCTCCCTTTCTTTCTCACCCTACCTCCCTCCCTCCCTCTCTTTCCTTCCCCAATTCACCTCCCTTAGTCGCCCTGTATCCCTGCCCCTCCCACCTCCGCCGCCCCTCCCACCTCCGCCGCCCCTCCCACCTCCGTTCCTCCGCCCTAGCACTTCAGGTGGCTGCGCTGTACGTCTTCATCACTGTCACTCCACCCCATGTGCACCCCCTCCTTCGCCCCAGCCCTCCCTTATAGTGTACACTCCCCGTCCCTGTAATTTTTTTCCACCCTTCACACCCTCACCTGGTCGTGGTCCGTCCTTATTCCCTTTTTTATTTATTATTGTTATTATCTTTTTTTTTTTTTTTTTTTTTTTTTTCTTTTTTTTTACTTTATTTTACTCAGTCATTCCTACCAGATTGATGAAAGGGGGAAAAAGGAGACAGTTAGTGAGACAGACCCTTTCTCTCCTTCCTGAAAATCTTGTTTGCCTTTGTTCCCATGTTCCCTTATTTTGCTTGCTCCCTCTTTCTCTCCTTCTCTCAGTCTTTCTCTTCTCTCTCTCTCTCTTTTCTCTCTCTATTCACTCTTTTCTCTCTCTATTCACTCTTCTCTCTCCCTCTTCTCTCTCACTTCTCTCTCTCTCTTTCCTCTCTCTCTCCCTCCCTCTCTCTCTCCCTCTCTCTCTCTCCCTCTCTCTCTCTCCCTCCCTCTCTCTCCTCTCCTTCTCTACTTCTCTCCCTCCCTCATTACCTCCCTCCTCCCTCCCTGTATGTGTGTGTGTGTGTGTGTGTGTGTGTGTGTGTGTGTGTGTGTGTGTGTGTGTATTATATATTATATATTATATATTATATATTATATACACACACACACACACACACACACACACACACACACACACACACACACACACACACACACACACACACACACACACACACATATATATATAAATATATATATATATATATATATATATATACATATATATATATATATATATATATATATATATATATATATATATATATATATATATATATATATATATATATATATATAACAACCTTTTTATCTTCCCTCCTTCTGTTTCTCTCCCTCGCTCTCTCTCTCTCGCTCTCTTTCATGCCAAACTTGCTTTCAATACTTAAGCATATTCTTTGCAAATTCCAAGAAGAAAAAGATATTTGAAGTTTGAAGTTTAACAGTTGCCGGATGTTGAGATGAAATCAAATTTTGTAATACTGTATTTATGAATAGTAAAAAAGTTAGTATTGAACTGTATCTGTCTAAATCTTGCTTGAAAGATTTGCTCTCTCTCTCTCTCTGTCTCTCTCTCTCTCTCTCTCTCTCTCTCTCTCTCTCTCTCTCTCTCTCTCTCTCTCTCTCTCTCTCTCTCTCTCTCTCCATCTCCATCTCCATCTCCATCTCTCTCTCCACTCTCTCTCTCCATTTCTCTCTCTCTCTCTTTCTCTCTCTCTCTCTCTCTTTCTCTCTCTCTCTCTCTCTCTCTCCATCTCTCTCTCTCCATCTCTCTCTCTCTCTCTCTCTCTCTCTCTCTCTCTCTCTCTCTCTCTCTCTCTCTCTCTCTCTCTCTCTCTCTCTCTCTCTCTCTCTCTCCTCATTTCTCTCGTTGCTTTTACTCTCTCCTTCTCTTCCCTCTTCCTTTCTCTCTCCGAAGCGGGGAAAAAAGGAAGAACGATCGATAAGCAAAGGGACGTGAATGGCAGCGGAGGCGGATGACGGCGGCCGGAGCGAGAGGAACGTATGAATGGCCGTTCCTGAAGAGTAATTGATGTGTGGTTATGTATAAGTCACGACGCTAAAATAGACGTGATTGTATGTTTTCAGCTCTCGGAATAGACTATTTATGCGTCTGTTTCTATGTGTGTGTGCGTGTGTGTGTGTGTGTGTGTGTGTGTGTGTGTGTGTGTGTGTGTGTGTGTGTGTGTGTGTGTGTGTGTTTGTTTTGGGAGGCGATGTTTGCGTGTGTGCTCTCGTGCGTGCGCGAAAGAGCTTACACGCGAGTGAGTCTATAGCATTATGCGTGTATGTGGTCCGCGTGTGTCCGTGCGGCTATGCATTTTACGGGAGCCGCAAGTGACGTCTGGCGTGATATACCTATGAGGAATGCGGCGGTTTTGTGTTTTTTATGTAATTTGCTGATGGGATCAAGCGTGTTTTTGTCAGCTTAAGAGAGTAGTATGTCTGTGATTAGTGTTTGGGCGTGGTTGCTGACTGGGTGTGGTAACTGGTGTGTGGCGTGCGCGTGTTAATGGGACTCGCGGATTCGTTGTGATGACAGTGTCGTGTGTCGGTGCTTGGTGATGCCCCGCGGTGCATTTGGATGAGGCCATGTCAGGGCGTGGTGCGAGAGGAGCAGAGGGACGCCGTGTGGAGTCGTGTTGCTTGTAAAAAAAATGGATATGGTCTGGTCGGCGTGGCTAATGATTGTTCTTTTATTTCAGGAGATAATATTGTATTATATAAATATAGATAGACTCCCCAGTGTTCCTTAAAAGCTATCAGTGTTGCGAAAATGTTGTGTACAGAATGAGTGCGAGTTAAAGAGGTCGTGGTGTGAGGAGGTCGTGCAGAGGACCGCGGTCGTGCGCGTGTGGTGCCGCCTCGCCACACCGCCACCACCGTCATGGTGCCGGCTGACGCTGGGGATGACGACGGCTTGTACCAGCCGCCTCGTCCCCCCCTGCCGGCACCGCCGCCCTATACTCACCCCCGCCCTGTTCTCCCTGCAGCCCCGCCCCGGCCCGCCATCTCTCCCGCACCCTCCCTCACGCGGCTGGCGCAGCACCATCAGCAGCAGCAGACTCAACAGCAGCAGCAGCAGCAACAGCAACAACAGTCACAGCAGCAACAACAGCAGCAGCAACAGCAGCAGCAGCCGCCCCCGCCGCAGCAGCCACTCCAGCCCCCGCAGGCGGGGTCGCTGCAGCAGGGTGTCCAGGTGACCAGCAGCTCCGGGCCGCCGTCCCTGGTGGGGCTGGGGTCGGGCACCTCGGGCCTCTCGTGTGCGCCCCAGCCCCTGCCCGGCTTGGCACAAGGGCCCCCGCCGCACTTCCTGCAGGCCACGCCCCTGGTAGGCCTCCCTCCCCGCTCCTCCACCCCCCTCCCCGCCTCCCGCTACCCCCCCTTCCAGCCGGTCACCCAGTACCGCCCGCCGCCCAACCCCCGCGTGGGCGCCGCGGGGCTGCCTCCCCCGACCTGCAACCCGGACGACCTTCCTCCCCCGTCGTTCCTACCCTCCCTGGCGCCGCGCTCCCCGCTCGGGGGCACGGGCAGCCTCTCATGCCCCACTAGCCTCAGCGAGCAGGCGGCCGTTGCCCCCACCACCTCCGTCACCCTCACCAGCGGCTACGTGGCGGGGGGCGTACCCGGGCCCGGCTGCTGGTCGCTGCCCCGGGACCCGCACGTCGTCAGCGCCGCCTCCAGCGTCGCCAGCGCCTCCGTCACACACGACATGGCTGGAGGGGCCGGCGGGGGCGTCGGCGGCGCCGGGAGCGTGGGCGGCATTGGCGGCGTCGGGGGCATAGCACATGAGAGGGGAGCCTCCGCCCCCGCCGCCATGGTGGGCGGCCCTGGCGAGGAGCTGAAGACCCGGTCGCTGCCCACCCGCTGCCTGCACGGCGCCCGCCCGCCCCTCATGGCCCGCCGGAACCTGGTGCTCTCCGACGGCGAGGGCGGCGGGCCGGGCTCGTCGTCGCTGCTGTGCGAGGAGGACGGCTTCTACTTCAGCCAGCCGCTCATGGAGGAGCGCGAGGAGGACCTGTACGGCTCCTCCGAGGACCTGTCGTCGGGGCCGTCCATCCTCGAGAAGCTTATGGTGTGGGCCTACTACAACTCCGAGGCGCAGCCGCAGGACCCCTCAGGTATGGCGGCGAGCATGCCCCGCGAGAGGCGTGGGCGTCGCACGGCCCTGCATGGGACGCCTTGAATCATGCTGCATGACCGTCACGTATACTGCATGGTGTTGCCAGCATGGCGAATGTTTTTTTTGTGCCCTCTCCATGATCTGTGTGCATGGATCTGTTCCATGATATTCGTTTTCGTTGCAGCTTAGGTAAACTGCAATGGAATTATTTATTTAAAACTGCAGGTGTGTTGCATGCCTTTTATAACTGCATGTCGCAACGTCCTACTGAAAGCTTGGCTTATCATGTGTTCTCTTTATTTCATGGTACTACGTGAATGTTTTTTTTTCAGATGTAATTAATATAATTTTCATTTTTCTTTGATAGAATGAAGATATTGTATGTTGCAGCGTAGTGTTTATTCTCTGACGTAGATGGATGTTACATACATTTAATCGGTGTTCCTTTATACAGTTTATACTTGTAGAAGATAATCATCCCTTTGACATTCTTGTAATCTTAGACATTTTTTCTTGACAAGGTAGGGTATCAGATCCTTTAATTGAAATGTAGGTAACACCGAGAAGAAACGGGGGAAAAGACGCAGGTAAAGTAACCTTCAGCTGACCCATTGTGAGCGCTGACCCTCCGGTGCCGCCGCCTGCTGTCAGCGCCGTCCACTGCAGGTCTAGGTCATTTCCCTGATTAAAAAGTAGATTTACAATGGTGGGCGGCGCACAAAAGAAGGACGAGCGCTTCGAGGGCGTAAAGGTGCCAGTGCATTGAGGGCTGGGGGGGGAGGGGATGGCGGGGAGGCGTGGGGTGGGCTGGAGGCAGGAGTGGGGGGGGGGTGGCCGATGGGGCGTGGGAGGAGTGGACTTCGTAGTAGCGGATTTGTAGTGGGAAAAAAAGATAGATAAAAGAGAGGAATGGTAGAGAAAAAGGGACAGATAAGTGGGGGGGGGGGTAAGAAGTACGGAGGTGAATATTGAAAGTAGAGAGAGAGAGACAGAGAAAGGGAGAGATAGAAAGATAGGTAAAGGGTTGAGGGGTTTGGCGGTAACTAGGTGTAAGAGGGGAAGGGGAAGGGGAAGGGGGGGGCGGAGGGCGCACATCGTTCACACACTCGCATTATTCCCCGCTCCATTGTGTCTGGACAATGTCGCTCTCCCGTTTGCTCTTCCCTTTCTATTCCTAGTCTCTCTCTCTCTCTCTCTCTCTCTCTCTCTCTCTCTCTCTCTCTCTCTCTCTCTCTCTCTCTCTCTCTCTCTCTCTCTCTCTCTCTCTCTCTCTCTCTCTCCTCTATCTCCTCTATCTCTGTCCTCCCTTCCTCCCTTCCTGTCTTCTCCCCCTCTCCCTTTCCTTCTTTCTTTCCCCTCCTCGTCCTAAAGTGCACTTGTGTACTGCTCGTTTGTTCCTTCTTCCCGTCCTTTCCTCCCTTTCCCTCCCTTTCCCTCCCCCCCCACTCCCTACCTCCTTTCCTCTCTCGCTGCACCCCCCCCCCCTTTCTCCTCAACACCTATGGGGTCAAGGCTTGGTTCGTGACTCACTGATGTCCAATTGAGACCTTGTCTTTTCCTTGTTTTTTTTCCTCTCTCTTTGTTCTTTGTTCTTTTTTCTTTTCACATTCTTTTTCTCTTTTTTTTTTCTTCTTCTTCTGACACATGTACATCTTTCTCAAGTTCCTCCTGTTCCTAGTTGTGTTCTCTCTTCTTTCTCCTTTCTCGTTTCTTCTGCTTCCGATTTCTTTTGTTCTTTTCCCACGTGTATTTTTTTTTTCTTTATTCTTTACACAAAAGGGAGGTGAGAATGCAATTAGGAAGAAATAGAAACTAATGAGAGTGATAGAAAAGAAGTGGTAGAAATAGTGAGCGAAAATTATACGCGAAAGAGAAGCGAACGAAAGGAATGGGTTGGTATTAGTCATTTAAGAAAAAAAAGGATAGTCGTCGATGTAACGAATAGGCGGGCAGAGGAGGAGGAGAATAAGGAGGAGGACGAGAATAAGGAGGAGGAGGAGGAGGAGAATAAGGAGGAGGAGGAGAATTAAGAGGAAGAGGTTCGAGACCCGCTTGCTTGATAGCCACGGCGAGGAAAGTGATGCTTGCCTTTGGGGTCTCTGTGGGTGCGGAGGGCGGGGGGGGGGGGGGTGGAGGTGGTGACTATTTTCTTCCTTCTTTCCCCCTCCCCCTCTCCCTCTTGCTTTGACTCTTTCTCTCCCTCTCTATGACTTTCTATCTCTCCCTTTTTCTTTGACTTTCTCTCTCTCCCGCTCTCTTTGACTCACTCATTTTTCTATTTGGCTATTTTCTATTTCCAAGGTTGAAAGGTTTCCGTTTCCCTGTCTCTCGTTGTCTGTCTGTTTGTTGTCTCTTCTCTCTTTCTTTCTTTGTTCTTTCTCTCTCTTTCTTCCTCCTTCTCTCTCTCTCTCTCTCTCTCTCTCTCTCTCTCTCTCTCTCTCTCTCTCTCTCTCTCTCTCTCTCTCTCTCTCTCTCTCTCTCAGTGAAAAGACCGAGTGAATTAATTAATGGCCAAACAAAACCTCTCATTATCGCCCAGTGTCACTCAGACTTTCTCGCCGTTACCAGTTCTTCCTTCTTTCCCCCTCCCCCCCTCCCGCCCGCCTTTTTCCGAGAATTATTTTCCTTCTCCACTTCCTCCGTTCCGTCTCCTTTAGGCCCGCGGTGAGATTAGCGAGAATGTGCGGAGGAAAAGGCCGAAGAGCAGGCATTTTTTTCGGGGTTGGGAGATCCTGCTAAGAAGTGAATAGGCGGTCTGGGTAAGGTAGCAGGTAAGAAAGCAGGTAGTGAGCAGGGGGGGGGGATTAAGGGGGTTAAGCAGTTTTTTTTCCAGGTGGTTTAAGCGGATAGGCTGGCTGCGAGGTCGGGGAGGGACAGAGAGACGGATAAACCTGGTGATGAATAAGTACTGGTAGTTGGGAATCACGGAGAAAGGTTGACATATAGAGGGAAGGCTTGTATTAATAGACAGCTGATAGATAGACAGGTAGAGAACCAGGCGCGCAGTCCAGGAGAGGGGAAGAATGCAGGCCGGTGGGAGGGCAGGTGTGCAAGACGACAAGCATGCAGGTAGGCAGACAGGAGGGAAGGCAGACAGTGGGCGACCCAGCATCCGGAACAGTGGCACCGCCGCCATTGATGCCAGGTTGCCTCGCTCTGTATATTTCACAGGCGTCCCTCGTCCTGGCCAAGGGAGGAGGGGAGAGGGGAAGGCATATGCCAAGGGTAACAGGACTTCACGGCACAAGGGAATACGTTCCACTTTCCTCCGTCGCCCTTAGTGCATGCGAACCTCCGCCGATGGTGTCGCTGATTTTGTCCCGGGTTGTCACGGCCCACTTTTTCTTTTTGAGTCTGCCCGTCATTATTTTAGTTCCAGTTGGTGAGTGAAGATGGTGTGCTCTTCCTCACCCATTCCTCCTCCCCCCACCCCCCATCCGCTTTTCACAATCCCCGTACCATCATCGTCACCATCACAATCCTTGCTCCGTGCGCTCCCAGCCGTGGCGCTTAATGTGGTTTATGAGCCCTTTACACGCATGCTGTTTAGGGACTGCTCTGAATGTTATCACCTAAAATAAGAGCCAGATCGTCATCTTATTGTAAGATAACGCGTGCTAATGCTTGATAAGCTGGGGGGTTTACTAGACCGGGGGGGAGGGGCGTGTGCCTTAGTCGACGATAACTACAGACGCGTGCAAATCCTCACGCAGAGAGCACGCACACGCAAACTCAACTATTAGGAAGAAAAGGGGAAAAAAATGTTTGTATATTAGCAGCCATCTCGTGATGACTAATGGAAGCGTTCTTTTTTTTCCAGGTGAGTTGCGGGAGAGACAGACCTCTTTCATTCGCGTCTCGTTGGCAGCACGAATGGACCGCAGGTAAGTGTGAGTGAGCGAATGAAGAAAAAGAAAAAAAAGGAGGAAGAAAGGACACGGAGGTAGGTAAGGGTGAAAAGAAAAGGGTAGCAATTTTGAGTTTCAGGAGATATACAAGGATTCGAAGGTAGGGGTAAAAAGGTATTTTACGCACGTGGGACTTTTCAAAGGAAAGAAGGGACCTCGGCTGAACCTCTTTAAGGGCCACTGACTGTAGGTAGTTTAGGGTTAGACGTCAAGGGACAAGAGGGGAAAATATTAGCCTTGTGTAGGTACGCAGGTAGGTACCCAGAGGTTCCTCGAGATATATATATATTTTTTTTTTCGTGGAATATTCTACATCTTTTCATGATGGACGCGTGCCTTCCTCTCTCTCCCCCTCCCTCCCTCGCACCACCTTCCTCCGGTGCGGCTCAGGTAGACGAGAGAAGGAAAGAGGAGAGGGAGGGGAGGGAGGTTGCGTAAGACAGCAGCTCCGGGAGCCACGGGATGCGGGGGGGGGGGGGGTCAAGGCGAGAAGTACTTGTATTCCTTTTTGAGTTCGCTCTTCGTCTGTTATTCGCTTATCATTTGCTTATTTGCTCCTCCTTCCCCTCCCCCTCCCCCCCTTCTTCACTTCTCCTCCTCCTCCTCCTCCTCCTCCTCCTCCTCCTCCTCCTCCTCCTCCTCCTCCTCCTCCTCTCGTCTTTTTTGTGCCTCAATTTTACCTGTCTGAAAATTTATATTTTTTAATCATCTTTAGTTGATATTTAAATGCATATACTGTTCTAGTTTTCGGGTAGAGGCAGCGGTTGTGAAAACAGGAAGAGAAAAAGGATGCGCTTGGAAACACGGTAGGAAGAGGAGAATAAAAAAAAAGAAGGGAGAAAGTTAGAATAATGATTGGAGATGAAAGAGAGAGTGAATGGGGAAAGAGGAAGAAAGCGGATGAGAGTAAGGGTATATGAAAGGTTTATGGGAAATAGACAAGGGAAAGAGATGAAGGAGAAAGATTAAAGAACATGAAAGGCAAGAGAGAAAATTGAATTAAGACAAGGAGAATGGCGAAATAAAACCATAGGAAAAGAGAAAACCAGAAAACTTTTAAGGAAATAGAATGAAAATAGAAAGAAGGAACGGCAGGACTGAGAAAGGTTCTTGGCTGCCAGACGAGGACCCGCACGCGCTCTCCTTTGGGCCTTG